GCTGCGTGGGCTGCTTTTTTTTCTTTTCGTTTCTCATAAACGTTGGAAATTTGATAACCAAAACCAAACGATTGTGTCCATATTCATTGATTAAATTTATACCTTTTATATATTTTGTTTTATAATATCTTTCTAGTACTATTTAAAAGTGATTACTGCAAGTATCTCATTCCCATCAAAATGTATATAAGCAATATGGAACCACCACTGACTAAAACCTGTCGTACTTCACTGCAATAAGCGCATTCAAGTTACTTGGTTTATTGTTTTATATCAATTCCCCTGAACAAATTACATACCAACACATTCTGCTTCCAAGAAAGAGCTCTTCTTGAGACGAAAACTGAGTTATGGTTTCTCAACTAGATTCATCAAATCTTACATGAAGTAGCTGAGTGTTTTTTTCCTTCTAGATCCTCCTTCCCCGTAGAGTTCGTTCCATTGTTGAAGCCCCGTCATGTTCACCGACTCAGATGAGACGCTTGCGCACACCTGATTCAACACCCAAGGTTACTATTGCTTCTCTGAGCCCGACAAATCGAAATGGGAAAACAGAGTAAAGTAGGCCTTACCCGCTCATGTGCGTATCTGAAATCATCCATGTTTAAAGCTCGGATGTCAGAACTCCCAGAGAGAGCTGGAGGAACTTTACCTTCAGCCAGTGCAGCATCTCGCTCCTACCATAGTCCCATCATAAACATATATTATTCTACAGAGTTAAAGAATGTGTATACAACAAAAGCTCATTGGTTCAATACAAAGAAAACTTACTCTTTTTTCCTTCTCCAATATTTCCTTGATTGGACGGTGGGCAGCAGTAACACACAGATTCTGCAAACACCAAAAGAGAAATATAACAAGAAAATAATTTGAGTATTACTTTGCATTTCTTATCATTTTGGCACATCGTAACAAAGCATCAAGGAATCACAAGAGATTTACCTTAAGATCGCTTCCAGAATATCCATCACTCATACTAGCAACTCCACCAAGATCAATATCAGGGGACAAGTCTTCTTTTGCAAGGATAACCTTTAATATCTTTGCTCTGTTCGGAGCATCTGGTAGCCCCACCATCAACCTACAGAAATCAATACCACAAACTTTTCACAACTTGTACATGTCATGTCAAATTAGTCCAATCAGCAAGGAAGCTATACTTACCTACGGGGCAACCGTCTAATGACAGCCTCATCAAGGTCAAAAGGCCGATTTGTGGCTGCAAGAACCAGAACACGTTCCGTGTCCTTCGTCCTTAGACCGTCCCAATTCATCATGAACTCATTTTTCATCTTCCGCATGGCCTCATGTTCACCCGGGCATTCTCTTCGGCCTAGCATGCTATCCACCTGCAAGACCGTAAAATTTTGTAAAATAAAGGTGAGAAATTTGAATATACGAGCAAAATTCAGCAAAGAATTAACCATGAGAGATTACCTCGTCCACAAAGATAACACTAGGGGCAATTTTACTGGCCAATGAAAAGACAGCTTTGACATACTTCTCACCCTCACCAAACCACTGCGGTATTGAGAACTCAAGTTTGAACAAGCGAGTCCGTGTATGGATCGATAGAGTCTAACTTTTTAAGTATTCTGTTACCTTAGATGCGATGCTTGACATCGAGATGTTGATAAAGTTTGCCCCAGCTTCTGTTGCCACTGCCTTTGCAAGCATAGTCTTTCCAGTTCCGGGAGGTCCAAATAAGAGAATTCCTTTACAAGGCTGTGCATAGAGAAGGACAAGAGCGGACTGGTTAGCAAGCCACCAAAGCACATGTCAAAGTACAGTTATTTTACATTTTCCTACCAACTAAGTTTTAGGAGAGACGAGTTTTGAGTAAAAGCCAAATTATCAGCTAATAAACTGATATTATCATTACTCCACAAAATTCATGTACATGCATACAGGCACACACAAATAAAAGGTAAACCCATCATGCTTCTGTGATAAACTCAAGGCAGGATCTTGTAAAAGTTATTGGAGCTTTCTGAAACCTAATTCGGAGAAGAGAATTACCTTTGTTAAGTTCCCCTTGCAGAAAAGTTCAGGCCGTTGCAAGGGAAGCATAACCAATTCCTTTAAGGTGTCTTTAACGTTCTCAAGAGCCCCAATGTCATCAAATGTAACACCAATGTCACTAGGCGGAATAACATCACTTAAAAGCCTCTTCTCAAACTCATTTTCTGTCACAATGTCCTGAATCAAACAGAGAAAATTAACAGTTGTTACGTGACAGGAGCCGTTGCCATAATGAAACTCAGTAACCAAACAGTTCAGTTAATTCTAAAAAAATTTGCTAACCTTGAGACACTTCTTTGAGCTTTTAGTATCATTTAGCAGAGCCTGTAAGAGTCCAATTCCAAATTTTATGCTGCAAGGATCGAATGTTAGCACTCATTAATTAAACATATAGTTAAGAGCAGTAATACACAGGGACAAGCTACCAATTACCTGTCAAGAGACATAATAATCCTAGTATCTGGATCAGCATCAGGATTACGCTTTAGATGGTCACTAAGAGCCCATCCTACAATCTTTTCAGCACCTGAAGCAGAAAGTCAGGCAAATTTTAAGAAAATCATTTTATTATCAATTCTGCTCATCATGCCGAACTAAGTGAAAACATACTGTCGCTTTGAAGTGTCAGATCCTCCATGCACAGCGTCTCAATTCCTTCACATTCCAGACCACATCGTCCCAGCACCTGAATGAAGATGCAATTATGGTTTGGTGCTTAAAACTTTTGTAAAGCCCCTGGTTTAAAACAGGAATGGAGTTGTGCCTTATGAAAAAACAGTTAATCTTGTACACCAGAGCAAAAGCTAGCTATCAATCCTTTATTTTCATGTGACCTGAGACTATGCAATCAAGTTTTGGAAGACAAGGAAAGATAGGTATAGGCTTTAACAAACGCGCCATTTAGGCGGTTCTGCCTTTGCATTAAGGTTTAACAGCCAAAATGACACCGATTTAATGCAGCTTTACTTTTACAGCTAAATATGCAAATAAGCAGTGCACCTACGAAAATCAAAGATTTTTCGTTGGGATTGAAATCCAAGGATTTTCAATCTGACCCATCATATGTAAAACTTATACTGTTCCCAAACATAAAATGCATGACCTCTTAATTACATATGAAGTCCAAGAAGACAGCAAAAAAGCATACCAAATATTCATCGAGGAAAGACATACCATGTGCAAGTGATTGAAATTAGCCTTCATTTTCAGAGTCTCAGCATCACGATCCAACAAATGATTCCAGGATTTTAGAAGATCCTCATCCTGGAATTAATTAGCTCCATCAAGTCTAAGGTTTCTTTGACAGAAAAACTAAAGAGAACGCTTATGTCTAGTAGAACATAGCAACAAACCTGTGGCATGTGAATAGTAACTTTATTCCCAAAGAGCTTCGTTAGAAGTTTCGTTGCCTTTGAGAATTCCTTGCCTCGATCATGTAGTCGTCCAAAGCTATCCTGGGAAAATTAAGTAAAGGTAACATTAGTCCCATTATTGAAAAAAACGGATACTCTGCAGATTCTCTGTAGCTAAAATCGCTGGATCATATATGATAGAGGCTCGCTTAAGAGGAAACACGAAGAGCTGAAAGCCAGCTAAAACCAGAATAGATGACAATTACAAGAAGAGCACATCGCATCTTCCCAGCATCACATTTTCCCAGTACCCTAGACACCAGATAATGTCCACAGTATAGCCGAAAAGGTCAAGGCACATATGAGCATGAAGTAATACCACTGATTCTAGGCAGGAACAGAAAGTCAAAACATAGAGGTACTAAAGAAAGACAGCATAAAAACAGAAGAAACATGCATAAAATGGTAAAAGATAATGGCCATCTGCCTAAAGAATGACTAACAATCTTGTTATGAGTAAATTTTTGTCCTTATTAAACAAACAAAGAAAAGAAGAGAGGACGTTTATTTACTGGAAAAACTAAGTCAAGAAGAGCAGTTTGGCTGCCACCGAATTTGTTGAAAAATAGACCTCCAGGATGAGACTGCAAAAGAGATGAAAAGAAATGAGCTACCTATGAATTAGAAACCCCTAGAGTTACAAGGGCAAGTTGATGTAAAATGTGCCATGTTGCAAAGATAATTGATTTTATATCAGTCTATTTGCAATTAAGATCTTGAAAGACCAACTACCCTATACAAGTCCTTGACACTTGCATTCTTAAATGTTTGCATAATTAGAGTATTTATCAGGACGAACCACGAAATAAACTCATGAATACACAATATTAAAAGTCTACTTCTAGCTATGAGCTATGGAAAATGCAGTAGCTAGAATGCTCACAGACAAAAATATAGCACTCAACCACTGATTTTAATGCCTGTGAAACACATAATGCAAAATAAAAATCACAATTCTTTGCGCAAGAACAACTTTCTATTTGACTACATGATTTTGAATTCCAAGAGAGAATTAGTACAGGTAATAATAATAGCACTATTACTTTTGCCAGCTGAGCTCAATGGACGCAGCTGGAGCAAAAGCATTGCCAGTAACTACCTTCTCCTTGCAATTATCAGAATGCGTCTGTGAACCGATTACAATCACGTTTTCTGGGAGACGTTCAAGTTTGCTTTTAAATGCCGAGTACGAATCAGAATTCCCAACAACAGACTTCTCAGCATCTTTCATAAAAAGGATAAACGGACAAGTTCTGCTCTCAGCATGGACAACCTGTAAACAGATGAAGATATAAGCACATGGAAAAATATAAGCCATCAATTTTTTCTTTACTTTGCAACTGAGAGAATGAGTACCTCAAACAATGTGTTAACAAGTAATTTATCTAGACCCTCAGAACCTGAGCTTTCGAACCAAAGATCAGTAGCTATAAAAAAGAAACAGAAGAAACAGTGTGTGAGACAATAGCTGCTGAGGACCAGCAAGTGATGCACTACTGTAATTGAAGTACCATTGCAGAAAAACCCACGCCCTTTTTCACATAGACCACCAAGATCAACTCCATCAGGTATGGGCTTATCAAATCTAACACCCACTTTGGCAAAAGGATTCGCATCAAATACTAAAATAACTTTCCCTTTAATCCCGTATGGAGGCCCCCTGAATAAGGTTAAAAATTGATCATCAAGTTAAGAAGTGAATATAAAAAGGAAGGAGAAACAATTCAGAAGATACTTCGGTAAGCCTAGCTCACAAAAATTCAAAAAAACTAGATGAAAACATAAGATTGGAAATATATCAATAAACAGATAGATATACTTCATGGATGTAAATATAGGGATTCATCAATAAAAAATTGGTCTTCTAATAAAAGAAGACGCATTCTTCACCAGATCCCAAAATATTCAAATTCCTACTATACAGAAGCCAATATCGGTCTCATCAGCTGCCTTAATCAGAATTATCATAAGAAGCAAACCTTGAGGTAGCTGGCCCCGGATGCAACCCAGCACCGAAAAATCTCACCCTGTCACCTGCAAGTGTTTTTTTTTCCAAATAAAGTATCAGCAATCAGAAATTAAAGAAGATTGAAAATAATCTTCTCGTCCAAACATCTTAAAAGGGCATGCCTTTCTTCAAAGTATGATTCAATGGAGTTCCAAATAAACGACATAAAGCCTCTTCCTGCAACTTAGACTGCGAGTCCTCCAACTTAGGCTGCGAGTCTGGGCCAGGAGAAGCAGCAGGAGAACAGGTTGAAGCATCTTCTTCACCTGTTGACAAATCGGAACCTTTCCTCTGATTTGGACGGTTACATGATTTTTCAGAAGCAAGTCCATCTTTCAGTGACTCAATTTCCTTGGCAGTCAAAGCCTGCAGGAAATTGCAGAATGGTTGCACCAGGAATTACTTTCGCTAATCTCATACCGATAATAAGGAAATCTTTCCTTCTGGGGAACCAATGAGCATATCATCATTCTTTTAATCTAACCAACATTTGCTCGTCACGAAAACAGCATATATTTAATAATAAAACACATGCACTATCTTACCCCCAAAATTTTATGGCTGTCAAATATTAGCAATTTCGCCTCAGAGTAATTGGCAAGTGCTTTAACTAACATCTCTTGGTATATTTCAGACCCTGAAACGATTCCCACCGAAAAGCAATATTAATGTTTCCACCCAAAAAAACTACAGTAATCACATACGCAAGATGCCACAAACCTGCTGGACCAGAAAGCAATATCCTTGGATTCAAATTGGTCAAGTTAGAGGCATACTTGGCATATTCTTTGTGCTTTAGATGTATATGTGAAGCAGCTATTAAGACATTTTTTGTATGCTCACTGCAAAAATAAATACAGAAAGACCTTAATCAGCATACACAAAAGAAAGAACAGTACCCATGCAAAGCCCAACATACCAGAGAAAAGAAACAAAGTGACTCATGCAAATGACTGCAAAGGGAGCGAAAAAACAGGAAAGATAACTTCTCATCCCTTCCAACTCAATACGTCAGGAAAGAGGATTACAAATGCATAATAATTTAAAGTTCAGAGAGGAACAAAAATCAAGAGGAAAACTAGATCTAAAAAGTCTATGATGATGAGAAATAGATTCTTAATGGAAGATTCCCACGCACATCTTCACTCTACATAAACCCAAACAAAATAAATATGACTTGGTCCAATACCTCAAATAATATGGAAAATTTTCGAATGAGACTTCCAAGCTTTTGCCTTCAACAATACCAGCTTGAATGTCTTCTCTAAACATTGCAGATCGCAGGCCATTGCCTGATGTTGAAGTTTGTAGTGAATTCCTTGTCACCTCTTTTTTCTCATCTATTATCTGATAAAAGCTTTGTCCGTTAGAAGCTAAAACTGTTGATGACGTCAGGGTCAAAGAGAGACATAGAGTAATTACCTCCATTTTGGAATCTTGGTTGTGGCTACTGACTGCTCCAATATCCACAGCTTTATCACTTTCATTGTTAACAGCAGAAATTCCTTCTATGTTACCAAATTCGAGCTCAGTGCCATCATGAAGCACAGAAGTAGCAGATTTCTCTGCTTGGCGCCTCTTACTGGATGCATGGTTTGATGATTTCAAACATGATAAGTCGCGCCGCAAGCTTGAAAATGCCAAAACTGAAGCAATTGCTGCAGCTGCCGGATCTCCTGCCCTTCTCTCTAATTGTCGAAATTTCCTTGCAGGATTCTGAATCCCACTACCTCTTACTGCAACTTCAGACATTTGCTGAAATATCTGGATAGAAATTAAGAGGAAAACGTATGTATATCCACGTGGAGATAATCATCTTTAATCTGAAGGGAAAATTTCTTGTTGCATTTTTTATACAGGGATCACATGAGGATACAAAAGCATAGCTCCCGAGTGTACCGAAAACCACTTCGTCACCAGACTGTAGCACACGGCTGGCATTCTTTTTGACAGTTGTTCCGTTTATCAGCACATATCCCTTGTTTCCTGTGCTCTCTAGAACTGCTACATGCTGAACATGTCAACAACCAATGAAAATGCATATTTCATTTACATATTCAAGGAATTCATCTCCACAAACAACTAAAAAGTAGAAAACTTTATTTAATCCGGAGAAAGAGGAAATGAATAGCCAGGCATGGCATATGCCATTTTTATTATCAATAACTACGAAACAAGAACAAATCTCAGAATCCAGCAGTGGTAACGTGATGAAACTTGAACAACAGAAATTAGATGTTTGAGATACCTGATTTCTTTTGATCCTGCACAGTAATGCACTTGATGTCTGGTCTTTCAATGTGAAGTTGCAGGTTTTACTAGAACCAATAGTGTAGCTGGATGTGTAAATGGTAAGGCTTGGATGCTGAAATTCATAAGTAGCTCAAGTGTCAGGATATGTCATCCATAAAAGCACAGGACGATAAAGAAGAGAATCGTCTCTTATTCTACCTGTCCAGACTGTGATAGAAGTTTACACCACGGTTTCCCACAATGCTTCTGATCTTTATTCAATCTGGAAAAAGAAGTGACTGGCTTCTCTACCAAAGCCGGTGTTGAGCCTATCGAAACGGAAAATCAGAGTCAGGAGGAGGTTCTCATATGAGATGCACAAGAGTAAGAGTTCAGACCTTGAGCAACAGGCGGGGAGGCCTTAGGCTTGGCGTCACCGGAGATTGGAGCGACTTCCTTGGACGTCTCCTCCGTCACGGCTGCTGCCGCAGGCTTCTCGGCGTCTTCGAGCTGAGATGAAAAAGGGAAATCCCCAAAATTGAAACAAGAAACTCCAAATTGGCACGGAAAGGGTATAACAAGGGTCTCTGATCAGAAACCTTTTGGCGCTTCGGTGAAGGGGGTTTTTCTTCGGAACAAGATGGAGTTCTCTTGCTACTACCTTTCGCCGTCGTGGGCTTGCTGCTACCGTTCGCCGTCGTGGGCTTGTCGCCGGAGAGAGATCCACTCCGTCGCGTTGACACCATCGCTCTTGCGCTCCTCCGATACTAGAAGAATCAATGCGAGAGATCAATTTCGAAACAAAGAAACAAGATATCAGAGTGAGTATACGTAAATTGTGTATATATATATTATATACGCCTTTATCTCGGTGGAAAATAGTAAAAATAAAAATAAAATTTTTGAGAAAATATAAGGGAAAACTAAAGAAAATTATATATTCACTAGTAAGGTATTTTATCCGCGCTACGCGCGGGTTTGTTTTATGTATTTGTTTTCGCTAAATGTTGACCTATATGAATGGAAAATATATTGTTAAGACAATTAGAGTTTTTAAAGATATAATTTTGTGAGCTTGTAATTTAAATATGTATCATTTCCTCATATTTTGCTATTTCAATTTAAGCTAGCAATAGTAAAAAATTTAATAATTTACCATAAATATTAATTTGTTTAGACAATTTGTAACTGAAATTTCAATGCATTAAAATTAAAAGTAGTAAAAATTTATTAGATGGCATATATATGTCACTCGATTTATGAAAGCCCAAATAAGAATCTGGGCCCAAGGTATATGATGTAGAAGAAACGATGAAAGCAGATCAACAGCGAAGGGAAGTCGTAAATACACCGTCTATTCACTAGGAAAATCACCGTCACACTGGGTTCGTACCTTTCTCCGGATCGATAAAATTTCTTTGTGTACCGGAATTCAGCTCTCGCCGCCGCCTCCACCGCTAATAACCTCTGTCCATGGAAATCCGTTCTTTTATACTGTGATTGCTCTCTACCGCTTCCGCTTTCTCTCTCATTTTGTTCATGGCTAGGTACGTTTGAGTATTTGCTTTAATTTCGTAATGGAGTAAATGCATTGACTCTTAGTTGCGTTGTTCGTGTATTTGCATCTAGGTTTTGTGACATTTATGGTCTTTTCGTTTGATTTCTCTGTGATTTCAGATGCTCATATGAATCTCCAATATGGGAAAGATCTATAAAGATGGTTTAATGTTTTGCTAGATTTTAGGGATATTTTATTTATGTTATTGAGCAAAGTTTGCTGTTCAAGGAGAAACTAAATTTTCCTCTAAAGATCAGTTTTCTTTATCCCTGTGGTAGACATGATATCCGAATCATTGAATCAAGAGATCCTGAAAAATTGTTTCTTTTATCTTTTGAAATGTATACAAGATAGAATAATATCCGAGCATTTAATTTGGCCGTTTTTAATAAATAATTTAAGAAAATTTAACTAAAATTTAATAAAACTTGTTTATTAAGATAAGAGTAGAAAGAATCTTCTTGATTATTATATAAGACCTGATTCTATTTGAAGCCGGTATGACTTGAGTATGCATTGCAGTAGGTAAAGACTTTTGCTCCCAGCAAAAAAAATGCATTGAATCATAATTTGCAACTATGTAAAAAACTTAAAACTATGTTTGTTTGTTCTTTTTTGTAGCCTTACATAGGGATTTGTAGCAGCCTGCTGAGTTTGCTACGAAATCTGAAGTTGCTTTTGTATCTTCTAATTCCCTGCAAGGTAAAATCAATCATGCATATTAAATTTAATGGATGGATGTTTTTAGATAAAGAAGATTG